AGTGGGGAGAGAAGAATGAGGGAGACGTGGGTCTTAAAGAAAAAAAAAACGGAAGGTTGCTATGGCCCATCAAAGAAAATACCTGCCACGAATTTCTTTCAATTAATGGAAATAAAATTTCCCCCCAAAACGAAAAATAAAATCCCCCAAAATCTCTAGCAATTATGATTTATTCCCCAAAAATTTGAAAGTTTTACTTACCTCTTTCATTGGGAGCCGAAATTTGCTATAAATACCTTTCTGCATGTCTGCTACGCCCTAACGCTCTCACCTGCCCTGTCCTTTTATGTCAGTGACGTCACGTCGTCATCACTGAATGCCATTTTTTGAAGGTTATCCATTCAACTTGATTTTTAATTACTTCCCCCCTAAAAACCAAAATGAAAGCAGATTAAAATTCAAAAACGTAGATAAAACAATTAAACATCTAAATTCCTAATTCAAAACTGGGGAGCAATAAAACAATTAATCATTAAATCGTACTCCCTTTATTCCGTTGTTGGTTTCTCAGTCTGTGGTGAAGTGGTGAGCTCCAGCATCTCTCACCACGCTTCCGCCAAAAAAATGCTTCAGCCTCTGACCGTTCACGCGAAATTCTCTTCCTGAATCCATCTCGGGGAAATACATGCGAGACCAAAAATGGGCATGACCAGCTCGATTTGAGCTTCCCTGGGAAAAGTTTGAGTCTTGAATTGAAAAGCAACACTTGTTGCCCTTTTTCAAACTTTCTAGGATTGAATCTCGCATCGTACGTACCAGCCTTCGTCTTTTCTCTGTATAATTTAGCATTCTCATATGCGTCTCTACGAAATTCCTCGAGCTTTAGGAATTGTAAGCGGCGAACATTGCCTGATGCAGCATAATCCAGATTTAACTTCTTCACAGCCGAAAAGGCCTTATGCTCCAACTCCAATGGGAGATGGCAAGGTATCCTAAAAACTAATTTGTATCGAGATGTGCCCAGAGGCGTCTTGAATGCTGTGTAATAATCCCACAATACATCGTCCAACTTCATCGCTCAATCTCTTCTATTTGTGCTAACCACTTTTTCCAATATGCTCTTGATCTCTCTATTAGATATCTCAACTTGCCCATTTGACTGGGGGTGATAAGCTGTGGATACTTTGTGTCTGATGTTATATTTAGCAAGGAGAGATGCTATAGCTTTGTTGATGAAGTGGGAGCCTTCGTCACTGCTCTGGGTACCAAATCTCGTTAATATTTGCTTGTGGAGAAACTTTGCTACCACTTTGGCATTACTGTTGGCGCATGCCACTACCTCGACCCATTTTGATACATAATCGACTGCCAATAAAATGAAGAGTTTTCCATTGGATGGAGGGAATCGTCCCATGAAGTCCATGCCCCATACATCAAAAAGCTCCACCTCTAAGATGTATGTGAGAGTCATCTCTGACCTCTTGGAAATATTTCCAACTCTTTGACATTCATTGCAATGCTGGACTAGCTCATATGCATCCTTGAAAATGGTGGGCCAAAAGTATCCGCTTTGGAAAACTTTTGCTGCTGTGCGCTGCCCTCCAAAGTGACCACCATATGGTGCCGAATGACAGTTAGCTAGCGCCTGTCGTTCTTTAGCATTGGCGATGCATCTTCTGATCACTTTATCTTGGCCAATCCTATAGAGATATGGGTCATTCCACAAATAAAACTTACTCTCATACAAAAACCTTTTCAGCTGTTGCTTGTTCATGTCCGTTGGCAGAATTCCACTAGCAATATAGTTGGCTAGATCTGCAAACCATAGTTCTTCATCTTCATTCAAAACTCCAATAGCCAACACTTGCTCATCTGTGAAGGTTCCTCTCTGTCTCATTCTCGGAGCATTCGAGAGTAGGCAACCTGGACAAGTGATCAGCAAACAAATTTTCTATTCCTTTCTTATCCTTGATCTCTATATGGAATCCTTGCAGTAGTAAAATCCAGTGGATGAGCCTTGGTTTAGCATCCTTCTTTGTCAGTAGATATTTCAGAGCAGCATGGTCCATGTAAACAATCACCTTTGACCCTACCAGATACACTCTGAATTTCTCAAATGCGAACACCACTGCTAAAAGCTCTTTCTCTGTTGTGGTATAATTAATCTGCGCCTTAATAAAAGTTTTGCTGGCGTAATAAATCGGATGCAATAGCTTCCCTCTGCATTGAGCAAGAACTGCTCTGACAACATAGTCGCTGGCATCGCACATTAGTTCGAAAGGCTGATTCCAGTATGGAGCTGTTATTATTGGAGCATGTGTGAGGGCATACTTCAGCGTATTGAAAGCCTGCAAACATTCAGATGTAAAGTTAAATTCTTTATCAATCTCAAGCAAAGAACATAGAGGTTGAGAGATTTTTGAGAAATCTTTAATAAATCTAAGATAAAAACCAGGATGCCCTAGAAAACTGCGAATGCCCTTGATATTCACAGGTGGGGGCAATTTCTCTATTGCCTCTATCTTCGCCTTGTCTACTTCTATGCCCTTTCTGGAGACTCTGTGCCCCAGCACAATTCCTTGCACCATAAATTGACACTTCTTCAATTCAGGACTAAGTTTGTTTCTTCACATCTTTGCAACACCTTCTTCAGGTTGCCTAAACATTCTGCAAATGACTTTCCAAACACCGAAAAGTCATCCATAAACACCTCTACCACTGATTCTACCAAGTCAGAAAAGATAGCCATCATGCACCTCTAGAACGTTGCTGGAGCATTACAAAGCCTGAATGGCATTCGCTTGAAAGCGGACGTTCTGTAGGGACAAGTAAAAGTCATATTCTGCTGGTCTTAAGGAGCAATTGTAATCTGATTAAAAAACAGTAATACTCTTGACCTGCCAGCCTGTCCAGCATTTGATCAATAAAGAAAAGAGGAAAGTGGTCATTATTTGTGGCTTTGTTCAGCTTGCGGTAATCTATACATATACGCCATCTAGATTCTGTCCTCATGGGTATCAACTCATTCTTTGCGTTCTCCACTACAGTCATGCCTCCTTTCTTAGGCACACACTGTACTGGACTTATGCACTCGCTATCTAAAATTGGATATATGATTCCTGCATCCAACCACTTAATAATTTCTTTCTTTACAACCTCCTTCATAGCCGGATTAAGTCTACGCTGAGGCTCTATAGAGTTCTTGCAATTTTCCTCCAGCACTATCTTATGCATACAAAAGCTGGGGCTTATCCCCTTGATATCAGCAATAGTCCATCCAATTGCTCTCTGATGTGCCTTGAGTACATTCAACAACATCTGTTCCTTTTCCAAGGGCAAGTCCGCTGCTATGATAATTGGCAATGTCTCTGATGAACCCAGGTAAGCATATTTCAAATGCTGCGGCAATGCTTTAAGCTCTAGCACTGGCGGCTCTTCAATAGATGACTTCTGTAATCGAAGTTCCGGGTTTGTGAGGTCTAAGGACTCCTACATTATTTTCACAAAGCCTGCATTGGCAATCATGCAGTCAGATTGGGCATCTTCTAGTTCCTCTTCAGATGCGTCGGCAAGACTTTCAGCATCAACTGCTTCTAGATGCTCCAGCATGGCTTCTGTTTTCAACTCCTCCATTAGTGCTTCATCCAATATCTTTAATACTGAGCACTCTTCTAATCAGCAGGAAATTTCATAGAGTCATGCACCAAGAATTTCACTTCTTGATCCTGCACACGCATTGTCAGCTCTCCTTTGTGGACATCTACCAAAGCTCTCCCAGTTGCAAGGAATGGTCTTCCAAGAATAATAGGAACCTCCTTATCTGCATCATAATCCAAAATGATAAAGTCAGCAGGAAAAATAAATTTATCTACTTGTACCAAAACGTCTTCAATTTTTCCCTCTAGATGCATAATGGATCGATCCGCCAACTGTAAGGTCACTGTTGTAGGCCTTGCTTTTCCAATGCCCAACTTGTTGTAAATTGATAATGGCAAGAGATTGATGCTGGCGCCCGGATCACATAAGGCAAGTCCTATATGTTGTCCTTCAATTGAAACTAGTATGGTAAAACTTCTAGGGTCTTTCATCTTTGCAGGAATTTTGCTCGTGAGTATGATGCTGCAAGAATTAGTCAATGCTACTGTTTCATACTTTCCCAACGTTCTCTTCTTTGTGAGTATCTCTTTCAGGAACCTCACATAATTTGGCATTTGCTCTAGAGCTTCCACCAATGGTATGTTCACGTGCAGTTGCTTCAAGACGTCTAAGAACTTCTTAAATTGAACATTCTACTCTTTCTTCTAGAACTGTTTAGGATATGGTGGCGCTGTACTCTGCTGGAGCATTTTCATGCTTTGCCTACTTTCTTTCTCAGGTATTCTGTTTTGTGAAGACCCTATCTCAGGTACTCTAGCAATTACTGGATTAACTGATTGTTTGGATGTGTCCTGACCCTCCTTTGGTTGTTCAGCTATCTGCTCTGGTGGAGTAGGTACAACTACTTCTGCTGGCTCACTATCCTGTACTTATTGAGGTTCTCCTTGGTCAACTTGAGCAGGCTCTTTGATCAATGCTGGAGCGTTCGGATGTGCCGGAGGTAATGCTTTCCCACTTCGCAGAGCTAGGGTCTTGCATTGTTCCTTACTGTCTCTCTTTGGCACTTCTGTATCACTGGGCAATGCTCCAACCGGTCTGCTCTTCAAATCCGTAGCTAACTGGCCTACTTGCAACTCTAGGTTCCTCAATGATGCAATCTGACTTTGCACAGTGGCGTCATTATTGGCCATGTATTGCTTCATCATTTTTTTCAATGATGCAAATGACCTTCTGATTGCTTCCGTGCTACCATCTGTCATTGATTCGCAAAACTAGAAGGATAACGTAATTTCTGTTGAAAAGCTGGAGCATTGGATGTTCCAGCGTTATGTCCTCCTTGATTGCCACTCTAACTAAAATTGGGGCGATTCATCTAGCTAGGATTGTACATATTTGAATACGGATTGTTTCTATTATTCTGCAGGTTCCCTAAATAATAAACTGACTCCGGATTTCTAGGGCAGTTGTTGTAATTGTGATCTCCCTCGTAGAAAGAACATGAAATCCCTTGAATTTGATTGACATTAGCCTTACCAGCTGATACTCCAGCTAAACTTTATTGCGTCATACTCCTCATTACCAAGTTCGTCAGATTCTCAATCTTTGAATTCAATGCAGTGTATGATTCATACTCAACTAGCCCCTTACTTGATTTTCCTTGAACAGCTCTAGGATCAGACCATGAGTGATTGTTTGATGATATTCTTTCTAAAATATTGAATGCTTCAGCATAGGGTTTTGCTAGTAAAGCCCAATTTGCGGATGCATCAATTACTAAGCGTGTGTCGTCATCCAGACATTTGTAATATGTCTCTATCTGTATGCATCTTGGAATCCCATGGTGAGGACACCTCTGCAATAATCGCTTGAAACGCTCCAAGGATTCACTGACTGATTTCCCAACAAATTGCTGAAAATTGTTGATCTCACTACGATACTTAGCATTTTTGCTGGGTGGGAAATACTTCATTAAAAACTTCTCAGCAAATCATCCCAGCTTGTAATAGATTCTGAAGGAAGGGACTCCAACCATGTTCTAGCTTCATCTCTAAGTGAATACGGAAATAGCTTAAGCCTCAGCACTTCTTTGCTCAATCCTTCATCCTTGAATGAATTGCAAACTCCCATAAAGAATTTCAGATGCTGATGTGGGCCCTCTGTAACATGTCCATGAAACTGACCCACTGTTTGGAGCATCTGAAACATCACTGGTTTCAGTTGAAATTTAGAAGCTTCAATTTCTGGCTCCGTGATAACTAGGTTGAAATTGTAGTATGCCAGAGCTGCATATGCTCTGATTTCCTTGTCGATGTCGTATGCTAATGGTACAACGTTGAGAGGGGCACTGCTACATTAGGATTTGCAGCGACAGGAATCCCATATACTATTTCCTCTATACTACAATTCGGTCTTATAGGTGCATTAAGCTGAACTGGCTGGTTCAGTTTGTCCATATTGGCTGCCGCTTGTTGTCGCCTCTACTCTCGTATATTTCTACGGAAGGTACGCTCTATTTCGCGATCAATAATATATTCTAATCCTTCGTAATCATTCATGCACCTCGCAAAAACACACAGCAAAATACAAATGTGAAAATGAGAAAAATTACTTTAGCACCGTATGTACAAACATTAAAGTTAAAATAAAATAGCAAAAATCCCCGACAACGGTGCCAAAAACTTATCGCGTCCACACAACTATGTTGACAACACGTACAAGTATACACAAATCGCAGGTTGTAAAACGTAACGAGGTCGTATCCACATGAATTTTTGGTTTATATTATAACGATAAAAGTAGATACCAACAAATAAAAATATACAAAGCTTGGATATGAACATTATCTAGAAAAAGAAATAAAATAAAGTAATAACAACAGGAAAGAACTTGCAAAGACGATGGTATTGAAGCTGTCAACACAAGAAAGCAGTAGCACAGAAAGCGATAACGGGGGAATAACAGATATGAAGAAGGCGAGGGAGATTTTGCATGCTTTCACAAGTTATCAACCTACCCTCTAGTGTAGCTAACATTTATTAGTGCCCAGTTTGACTCGGTTCCCTTCCGAGATACCTTGCACATGAGTAATTACAACTCCCGTTCCTTGTTACCCAAGCAGTAAACCCAAACTATAGGCAAGATTAGGGGACCCCATTTCTGAGTATGCTTATAGCTATAGAAAAGCGCTAACCACAAGCAAAACAAATCAGCACCTACAAGCCCTCCCAGGTAAATACAGAAGCGAGCAACATGAAACAGCGGCCAACAATAGCGTGAAGATTAAGAAATAAACTCAGAATTGCTTAAAAATAAATGTAGCAGCTAGAGGTTCGGTCTCAAGTCGGTTATTACATGTAAATCCCCCTGAAATGGGTAAAGAAAACAAAATGGAAGAAGAAGAAATACAACCCATAGCAGAAAAATAGCTAAATGACAGAGAAGAAGAAGCAGCTAACTCGTTCCAGCAGGCGAACTTCCCCTTTCTGGCGTTAGCTCTCCTCCCGAAAATGGGTATATTCCGTTCCTTAGTCTTTTCAGCTCTCAATTTTTGTCTTCCTTGGGATCTGCGTGCCTGTTGGCTAGGGCAACATTCTCTTTAAATATCGGGTCCCGTTTTTAGGGCACCCGACTGGGGATTGTACGAACATAAGTGAATCCCGTATTTTTGAATTAATTGTACGGACACTCATGCTCTGGCATCGTTATGCTCTAGCTTTTATATGCTTTGACTTGAAATGCTTTGACTTTTCTTCTCTGGTTCAGTACTTCCTTCTCTTCTTCGCTCTTCTTTAAAAACATGTGCAAATGAACCACAAATACGAGAGTTTATGCTATTTTTGGCCAAAGTTCTCAAGACTATGGATATTTAGCTACGAATTTGCAATAAAACACTATTCATGCTAGTTATGACCTAAAACGGACACATTTTGATATTTTAATGCACATTTTCACCCAAATAATCATCAGAATAACTCTCTTTTAGAGAGTTATCAGTGAGGAGTTCTGTTCAAGCGTACCTTCGCTTCGTGGGTTCGAGGTTGAGATCAAGGGCACCCCCAATATGCCCTTCATTAGAAACTTGAAGCCGGCGTCGCTGAAGTCTTTCGCGAACCCATTAAAGTCAGGGTGGGTACAGAAGGCTTCTCCAAGAAGCATACCATTGCTGAGTTTTGCCTTGTGTAGCTCCACTTCAACTTCAACCTTCAAGTCTTTCACCTGGAACTGGTGAGTCTCGACATTGTGAATGAGATGATCGTTGCGGCTCATCAGTCGAACTTCTCCTTCTCCAACCCCTTGACAACAACATATGTGAACCTCAACAGCTCTTGCTGGTGCTCCACCTCCTTTTCGGCACTCTTGCGTTCAGCCTCCAACTTGAATTTGAGGACCTCGTTCTCAGCTCTCGTCTCCTTTAGCTCCCATTCAAGAACAACAGCAGACTCTAAGGCTGCAGAGGAGGCCTCACGTTCCAATAAACTGAAAACGTGATTTCTAAGCAAACCGTAATTTTTAGAAAAACACAAACTTAATCAGTCTTCATCGCCAACAAATATATTCCATCAAGATCTATCGAATATTGCAAACAATCTTAGCTTTCTCCTCCTATTCCTCCATATTGTCCTCCACACCACTGCAAACTCACCAAAATAACTCACCGTCCAAATCACAAATTAACTATGTTCAATTCGGAAACAATTGATTTTCTCAAAAGAAACAATCTCAATTATCGCATAATCCACGAAAACTATAGAATCACAAGCCACGAAAACTACAGAACCACAATCCAATAAACTACCACAATTCAATCTTTTCTTATAAAATTGTCAACCATATTTCAAATCACGAATTATTGCCATGCAAATTCAAAACCATGCAAAAACCAAGCAAATCCAACCCGCCACAATACTAATATTGCAAATTGAACAAAAGATTAATCTACGAATATCCAACCAGCAGTTGCAAATCCAATGCAATTCAACATTGTAACATGACGGTCTCAAACAACATCTACAACACTGCTAAATAATAGGAAAATCAGTTCAAAATCAAAATTCAGAGACTTCAAACACGTAAATTTCCACGGCAAAACCAAAGGTCTTCACGTAAATTTCCACTCTTAAACCAACGATTAATGCGTCAAATAAACCAATGATTTTAACAAAACAAACAAATTACGAGAATAAAAGTTCTGATACCATGTTAATTTTAGGGGGAGAGAAAATAGAGAAAATAATAATTAGAATTCATTGAATTGAATTATTTCATACAAACCTAATAACCTATTTATACCATTATAATTCTTAATCTAGGAATGAGAAATCTAATAAAAAAATATTTAATTCGAATCTAATTATCATTCAAATAAAATTATCTAACGAAGATTAACATAGACAAAGCTGCGATGGCGGACATTACCTATTGAAGCTGATTCACTTCATGCAATCCAAATCATTGAAGGGAAGAGGTAGGATATGTTGTTGACGAGATTAGAAGCTTTGTTGTGGGAATGCATATTTCATCGTTGAGGCACATCAAGAGAGGGACCAATTTGGTGGCCCATGATATTGCAAGAATGGCTATGGAAGATGGCTTAGTGGCTGACTGGTATTTGGTT